ATTTTTTAGAGAGAGAGGGAGAGAGAGATAGAAACATACATCAGCTGCCTCCTGCATGCCCCCTCCTGGAGATCGAGCCCGCAACCCGGGCATGTGCCATGACTGGGAATCAAACCAGGACTTCTCAGTCCATGGGATGAAACTCAAGCCACTGAACCATACCAGCCAGGCCACAGTGTAAGCTCTTAAACCCTATATTAAATCTTAAATGCTGTGAGTCTCTAGAAAAGACCCACAATGCAGTAGAAAAATCATCAGAGCATATAAACAATGAAGGAAAAACAACTGGGTCTTAAACTTAGAGTAGAGAGAAAGGCGGAAAAGAGTGATACAAACCCCCTGGACCCTGGAGACCAGCCTTCTTATGGCTTCATCTGCTGCAGCTTGGGCAAGCCCAGCCAATAACACAGACTTCTCCTTCAACACAAAAGACTAAACCCGCTTTCCAAAAACCTGTCCCTCTGCAACAACTGACTCCAGGAAGCATTAAGGGAAAGGCAAGCAGAGAGAAGTCCGCTGCTCATCTTTAGCAAGGAGACAGGGATGAATATGCCAGTTGAGATGGGCAGACAGGTATGGGGCAGGTGGGCTCAGCTTTGAAACAAAGAGCACTGAGAAAGGAGTGAGAAATCCATTCCTTGGTCCATCTCTCCCCTTGGAGATCTTACCAGTTGTGTGCCCAGTTCCCCAGACTGACCCAAGGAGCAGACAGGCAACTTCAATAAGGGGTGGACAGTGCTGGAAAATCCAGCAGCAATGATACAGGGGACAAAGAATTCAGTATGACCCACCATGGGAAACACCTGCTTCTCAGCCTGCAGCCCTCCTGGCCCCTTGGAAAAGCTTCATCACTATGAGCCTCACATGTACTTCCCCCAAATCCCTCTATCTCCAAGTCCTGGGGAACCATGGACATATCTGGAGGGGTGGGTGCAGACAAAGGATGTTGGGCCTGCAACAGTCCTGGAGACTAACATCTCATTTGACTGGTGACTTATTCCCTGGAAGAATGCCAGCCTTGCAATCCTACAGTCTTTTCTCCTAATTAATCTCATTCCTGCCACTCCTGAGAGAAAATGGGAACAAGTTAAAATATAGCTACAGAATCCCACAAGAAAATACAAGCACATACATCTGTGTTCATCCAGCTGTACACACACCCTGTGTGCATGTCTGAGAATAAATTTGAGGCCACGGTCTTCATGACTGTGTCCAGCCCATGGTGGGGCTCTGTCAGGGCTGGCTCTTCTCCCCCAGGGCTCAAATACTAAAGTGGATGAGGTGCGAGAGAAGGGAGGAACATGGGTAGAAAGAAGATCTGGTGTCCGGGGATGAGACTTTGTCTCTGAGTTCAAAGGCTTAAACCAAGAATGTTTTATCCAGGTCCACGCCCTCTGTGGAAGCTTTGAACTGTTAGGAAGCAAGGCTGGGGAAGTTGGAGGCACCGTGTGTCCCTAACCCTGAAGAGTATGTAGTAGATAAAAGGAGCACAGGACCCAAATGGGAACCCTTGAAAGCTGGCAGGGAGCAGAGAAACCAGTGGTTCAACCCATCATTTTATTTTAAGAGCCTGAGGCCCAGTGAAGGGAAGTGACTCACCCAAGTGCTACAGCAAAGTGACAGTAATATTGTGACCAGGACTCTCTGTCAAGTGTTCTTTCTGCTATCCACTGCACATACATTCTTTGTCACTTCCTAAATGGTGTTCCCTCCACAAGGAAGCTGGTTGGAGTATGCTTCCCACACACTTGGTGAAGGTTTGCTTTCTGATTCATTCAGCACTGTTTTAGGCCATGGAATAGTAGCCATAAACCATAAATCTTAACCATTATCATAATAGCAGCTAAAATGTATTGAGTCCATGTTGTGCAAGGCATCATATTCTTGTTGTCATGACAACCCTATGATAAGGTATTACTACTGTCCCCATTGTGCAGATGAGGAACTGAGGCTCAGAGAGGTTAACCAGTTTACCCAAGGTTACTGTTCAGGAAGTGTTAGCTTAAACCACTTCCCATGTTCTTGAGTGCTGCATTTCACTGCTGCCTCCCAAGTATACAGGTGAGAAAATAAATATGATAACTTCAGATGTTTTTAAGTACTAAGAAAAAATAAAGCATGGCAAGAGAGAGGATGACTGTGATGGTGGGTCTCTCCTATTGTCTAGGTCAGGTGGTCAGGGAACAAGTCCTTGAAGATGTAGCGGCATCTGTACAGAATCCAGATTTACAAAGAGCTCATCAGGCCAAGAGCTGAGAGAAGGGCATTTTAGACAAAGGGAACTGGTGGATTTTTTTCCAAGGACGTTGGAAAGCCATTGGAAGGTTTAATCAGGGGAGTGACATGTTTTGCTCTGTGATAAATAGATTGTAAGGGGACCCCAGGGGAAAAGCAAGAGAAAGGATTTGACATTTTCAGGAAATTTGATGGTGATGGGAGAGGAGTCAAGACTGGGAAGAGAGCCAGGGCATCTGGGACCAGCATTCTCATTTTGCTCCCCAGGGACCCCTTCTCTAACAGAATGGGTAAGTTTTGAAAATAAAGAAGGACCCCTAGTTACAGGTAAGCACACCCATAGCCCGACCACTTCTGTTTCATGGAGTTAAGTGGCTTCAGTGGAGGAGAAGTGCCTGGGGTCAGATGGGGACAGTGGTGGAAGGTGTCTAAGGAAGAATTTTTGCTCAAGACTGTCACTGGGAGGCAGATTTCCCCAGGGATCACCCTGTCCCCCATTACTCTCTACCAGGAGAGGGCTGGGGTGGGTAAGAATTCTTTCCCCAAATCTCTACCCCAGGAGATCCCACGTCTTTTCTTCCTTCCCAAGTTGGGAAGTTCCTCCTCAGGTCCCACCACAGGCCTTCTCCAGGACTCTGGGCTGGATTATGGACCTTCCCCATCCATTCTGCCCCTTTGTCTCCCACAAATCTCCTGCTCCCACATGGCCCAACCTAGACAGGACTCCATCATGTCTGGGGGAAAGTGAGGCGTAAAAGGGGCCAGCTGCTCCCTTGGCTCCTGGCTGAACTCACCTTCTTCCTTCCCCCTCCCCCTCCTAATATGCTGGAGGAGCCAAAGGAAAATGAGAGTAGTGTTCCTTTCCATACGCCCACAGCCTCAAGCCCAGATTGGCTCCTGGGCCTGTAGCTACTTGCAAAGTTATTTACCAGTGACCATCAGGGGTCCAGACTTCCCCAGACACTTCTCTAATCTCAGTCAAAATGTTAGGTTCCCAATAGGAAGATAGGAAGATGAGCCTGTCTCTAAGGACTTGGAGGGTCTTAGACAGTGGATCCCAGAAAGTAAGGCACTGTTCCAAAGCCCTGGGACCCATTAAACCTCTGGGCTTCCTGGGACACAGACCCTGCATGGCATGTTTGGCCCCAGTACATTCTTGGCATATAGTGGAGATGTGATGAGTAATTGGTGAACCAGAAACGAGCCACTGCATTATCAGTCTGTTTTAAGAACCCACCTGAAAACAGGCTTTGATTTCAGGCTGAACTCAGGACTAATTCCCAGCAAAGCCACTTTGTTCATGCATTAAACATCTGCTATATTATATGTATGTGTGTATGTGTGTATACATGTCACATGTGTATAACATGTCCTGTGTAAACAGAATTAAAATATTTGCTCAAGACTGTCACTGGGTCAATGAAAATATGACCTCTACTTCAGTATTCTCCTCTAAATAATGGAAGCACTAACACTTCATCATAAAGCTACTGTGAGAATTACTTAGAATAAGACATAAAAATAATCATAGTAGGTACCAATAAGCAGTAGTTAACATTAATTGTGGCTGTTAGTGTTGAAGTGCAGTGGATGGCTAATAGGATCTGGGTAGCAGAGCTATAGGGCTGGGCAGTCCAGTGCTACTCTGGACTCTTGGGAAAGGCCACCCAGATTACCAGCAAGTGGGCCCCAACTCTCCCAGAGCTGCGGGGTTAAGGGGAGGGGTAGATGGGAGGTGTCTACTGACTTTTCTAGTGAATAGGCTCCCAGCAATCATCCCTGTTGTTCCTCACTATTCCTTAGCTTTGCTCCTGTGCACCGCTGGCTACTCAGAACTAACTTCTCAGTGAGCAAGACTGTAGCACACAGTCCACATTCTCTCCCCATCTTCCCCACCTCGGCCTCTGCCGCGCCCTAGGCTTGGGGCCAGCTGCCATCCCCCACCCACCTCCCCCCAAAGCCCTGAAATCCCCAATGTTGGTGTTTTGTGACACATCTCTGATTTTCCTTGGGGAACCATCCCTGTGCCTTCGCGTGGCCTCGCAAGAGGGCAGGCTAGGCAGGAGAGGGCACTTGCCAACCCCACGGTTCCCCCTCCTGTCGCCCTCAACGCAACCCCCCTCCCTGCTAATGCCAACCTCCCTCCAGATCGCTGGGACGTCCAGCTCTGCCTGCAGCGCAAAGCGGCCACTCTTCCAGTCCCACTGTGCGTACCCGCCCACCAGCCAATACTCCAGGCCTCCGCTCAGCCGCTCGCCTCGCCGCCAGGAACCCTGGGAGGTGTAGTCTTCAACAGCTCTCGGCAGGGCTGGCCAGCAGGGTCTGCGTGACTTCCCCACAGACGCGCCATATATGTCTTCAGACCCACTGACTCTTGCCATGGCCCAGCCCAAGAGCGCCAAAGAGGTAGGGCAGTGGGCTGGCTGCTGGAGGTGGGCAGTTTCCAGTGAGGTGTCCGTAGGGCCTTGGACAAGTCCTGTAATCTCAGCAACAGTCTGTCTTGCAGGATTTTGAGGGAGAACAGGCTCAGGATCTGGCACACAAGGTGTCCTCAATAAACGGGTGCTATTGTTATCTTTTGTGGCCAGAGTTGCCAAAGACAGTTCAGTCCCTAAATGTGTGTGAGCCAAGACCTGTTGATGACCCCCCTCCCAATCTCCCCAACAAGACCAGAGGTTGCTCCCGAATATATTTGGTCCAACAATTCAGGTGCCCATCTCTGTCCCACCCAACTTACCCCCACTGCCCCTGGCCATCCACAAACACACACTACACCTACTCAGAAATATCTGATATATTTTTCCCAACATTTTGATAATTTTTTTACAAATTGAATAAAAGAAATGATGGGGAGAAGTGGGACACCAGGCCTGGCCCTGGGCTCCTGATGAGAGATGACAGTGTGAAAATGTCTCCTTACCCACAACTCCTGGCCTGCTGCCCTAACCTCTCCTATCAACCTTACCTAAGTGTAAGGTGGGGGCTTTCTGAGGATGTGGAGTTCCCCCCTAGAGGGGACTCCGGGCATCCTGTTTCAGGCCCTGAACTGGGTCAGGCTGGGGGCAAGTGTGGGCCCACATGTGGCGCCTCCTGCGCCTCTCTTGCCTGCGGGCCAGCTGCCGCAGTTGTTTCCGAATGGCCCACAGCACCAGATACACTTCCCGCAGCATCTCAGCTTCCGGTGACTGCAAAGAGGACCCGGTCCTCATTTCGGAGGGAACTGAGGTAGAACTCACAGATGACTGAAAGAGAGAGATGCACACATATAAACCGCTTGATCTAGGGAGAAACCACTGGTGGAACCACCTGCAGAGAAATAGCATATGCTTTCAATTCCACCTCCCTCATCAGGCCTCAGCTCCAGTACTGCCTCTTCCAGGAAGTCTTCCCAGGCTGCATTAGGTACTTGTCTCTACCATTGTGTTTGCCCTGTCATATCATGTTTCATCACTATTTGTTCTGCAGACTTGTCTGTTTTCAACACTAGAATGCAAGCTCCTGGAAGATTGGGACCATGTCTGACCCACTTTTGAGTCCCCACTGGTATGTCTTGGAAAGTGTGTTAAAATGAAGGAGGACTTTTGTCTCCAGCCCAGAGCTCCCTTCTGACTTCCAGGTAAGTATATACCACTGCCTCCTAGACATCTCCCTGCAAATGTCTTATCAACACCTCAAGTCATCTTGTCCTAATGCCCAAACTCATTATCTCCTTCCCTAAATACGCCCTTGCTCTTTCATTCTCCTCCCTGTGAATGGCTCCAGCCTGCTCTGACTTCTCTGTCTCCCTATCCCTGTCACCATCTTCCAACTCACCATTTGATGCAACAATTCTACCCCTTAAATATTGCTCCAATTTATTGACTTGTTCTACCTGAGGTCTCTCCCCCAGTCCAGAATATCCTTTTCTCTTAGCATGGATTACAACACCTCCAATGGGTCTTCCTGCCTCTCCTCTTGTCCCCTTCCGACTCCTCCCCGCTCCATAGGCAACCAAGTGATTTCATTTTTATTTTATTTTTTTTGCATTTACCTTCAGACAAAGCTGGAGGGAGAGAGGGACGAAGAGAGAGAGAGAAACATCAATGTGAGAGAGGCACATCGATTGGTTGCCACCTGCACAACCCCAACTGGGGCCAGGGACGAACTGCAACCGAGGTACATGCCCTTAGCGGGAGTCGAACCCGGGACTCCCCGGTCCGCAGGCCGACGCTCTAACTGCTGAGCCAAACTGGCTAGAGCGCAACCAAGTGACTATAATTAATGCTGCAATACTTCATTCAGGGCCAAGATAAGTTGATTTGGTAGTTACCTAGACATTTCCCTTTTTAAACTTAAATTTCTGACTTTGAGATAATTGTAGATTCACATGCAGCTGTGAGAAGTAATAGAGTTTCTGTATACCTTTATCAGTAGTTCCCCCCAGAAAATATTTTAAAACTCTAGCACAATATCATAGTCAGGATATCAACATGGATACACTCCACTGATCTTATTCACATTTCCCCCGTTTTACTTGTACTCATGTGTGTGTGTGTGTGAATGTGTGTTGAATTTTACCCAATTTTATATTATATGTGCAGGCTCATGTAGCCAGCCACCACAGTCAAGATGATAGAGGAGATATCCATCACACAAGGATTCCTCATGTTGTCTTTTATAACAAACCCACCTCTACCTCCCCCACCCCCACCCTTGTAACCCCTGGCAACCACTAAACCACTAATTGGTTCTCCATTTCTATAATTTTGGTATTCCAAGTGAATGGAGGGAGGAATGTATTATAGGGGGAGAGGGGGAGGGTTACTGGGGACAGGGGGATATGGTACTGACCTTCCAGCTGCACATTTGCCAGCCCGACTGGAGGGCCGAGACCATGAGCGTGGAGACAGACTTGACAGCCGTCCGGGGCAGCTGCAACAGGGACCGGCCCCCATGGTCCAGCTCCACCTTAGCTCCATCTGTTGTCTCGGCCAATGCGCAGGGATCAGCCACCTTGGGGAACACTTCCTTCTTGGAGACCTTAGCCTCTTTAGGAGGCTCAACCAACTTGAAATTCTCAATCATATTGAGAGCCTTCTCCACCTTTTTCTTGCAGTCAGGGTGTTCCAAGATGGTTGACTTAGTTTTGTGTTGGCAAAACAAAACCTAAGAACCAAAAAGGGAGAGGAAGGATAGGAGAGAGGGCCAGAGTGGAGACAATAGTCAGAAGAAAGGAAGGCACAGAAGGGATGGGACAGTGTGTGTCCTGGCCTCCTCCTTGGCTGTCCTACCCCTCACTTCTCCCTTCCTGTCTTGTTTAAACACAGGAAGCCAGAAAGGGAGGGAAGTCAGGTAGAGGGGATGTTTCTGTGACCTAGAAGTCATTGACCAGCACCTCCCACCCCAGCATGGTATGAGGAAGGGGCAGTTTCTGAACTCACCCAGTAAGTAAACTTTTGCCAAACCCTTCGGAAGAACCTTATGACTGCAGCCATTTCTCGAAATTCACAAGTCCCAAGTATGGGGCAAAACCAGCATTTGGTATGGGGGTGGGGGGGGGGTGGGACAAGCTGCAGGCCAGTGGCTGCTACCTAAGGGGTCTCTTGGGAACTTCAAGCGCAGCAGTGAAGAAAGAAATAGAGAATCCAGGGGGAGGGCTCCCCCTGACGACTCATCCTAGGCCTTCCCTCCCCTCCCTGGGACAGGGAGAGGAGTCAAAGTGGATGAGAACTCAGAGTGAGGGAGAGTTCTAGTCCATTGTGAGAGCCTGCCTGGCCTTGACCCCAACCCCCAAGGCCCTTCCAGGACCCCAGAGCCAATCCCTGTGCCTTCAGCCCTTCTTTCCCCAGAGACAGGGAAGGGAAACTAACATTTATGGAATACCTGGTACTCACTGGGTATTTTCTGTATATGATGTCCTATAATTCTCACAGCAGCCCTTGGGTAGGTATGATTGTCAGTACCATTTTATCCATGAGGAAGCTGGAATTCAGAAAAAACCAGAGAATCTGCCCAAGGTCATAAATACAGGGAGCTTTAGGATGGGGAGTCCAACCCTTTACAGGTGGTCTCCAGCCTGGGGACAGGGTCTTCCTGAGGCTGAGGCAGCTGCTTTCCCCTTTTCCCCACTAGATGGGGTCCTTATCCCTACCTGCCTCTTCTGCCTGGGCCGGGAGCCCAGCTGAGGCTGTCTGGGAGGAGCCTGCTCACTCACAGGGCCCCATCCACAGCCAGCTGGGGGTGGAAGCCACGGAGGCCTGCCAGTCCTGGCGAGGGCACTGTGTGCCCGGGAAGCCTGGCCCACACCCAGGGCTAAGACAAGGGGCCCATTCAGTGCCCCCTGCCCCACCCCCAAGCAGCCACCCGGATCCAGCCCGCAGAGGGGACACACTGGGAAGCTGGGGGTGGATCCTGCACAATCACTAAAGGCTTCATTGTTTCCCTGTCCCCCCCCACCACCACCACCTCCAGCACGTGGGTTGACGGCCCCCTCCACCCTCCCTCCCTCTGTCTTGCCTTGCCTGCCCCTTCCCAGGACCTGGCAGGCCACTGGCTCCCTTTCCAACATCTCTTTTGACCACTCTGAGCCACATTGAACCTCCCCAGTTTGGGCAAGATCTTCTGGGAAGCCTATAGCCTTAGTCCCTTTCCCACAGTAGAAATTGCTGGTGCAGGCTCCCAGTCTGGACACAAGCAATGAGATGCCAACTTCCAGATTCAAGTTTCTTCAGATTTTTTTATTATAATTATTATTTTAATAACAACCTGAATCCCAGAACTTCCAGATATTGTCCATACTCCCTCCCCTGGGCAGAGAAGAGGGGACACTTCCAGGGAACAAGGTGAGGATGGGGTGTCTGCCAGGAAGCCTCCAATTCCCTCAAGCCATCTACTGCTCGGGATCCCAGAACACTGATACCTAGGGAGGGAGCAGAGCGCTCCATCTAACACCCCATCCTGAGGCCCTCCCTCCTCCATCAAGGCCCAAGGATGCCGCAGCCCAATCCCTGGGCACAATGGGGAGATGGAGGAAGGGTCAGGGAACAGGCTAATTCTGAGCCTTCAACTCCCATCCCCAGGGATCAGGGGGAATTAAAGCTGCATAGGAAGAGGGGGCAGGCAGCTGGCACAAGGCCTGGCAGCTGTGGCAGCCCCCAAAGGCACATTGTGAGGGAAGGGAGGCTCAGATGGAGGGCCCATTGGGTGCAGGGGGCCCAAGCCTTGGGACCCCTGAGGAGGGCAGCTGGGCCAGCTGCTCTGGGCTGGCCAGGGCACGCAGCAGGCCGTTCTCCTGCTCCAGTGCAGCATTCCGCTCAGCCAGGTCCCGGATCTGCTCCTTCAGCACCTCTACCTCCTCTCGGACCGCAAACATGAGGTGGGACTTCACCAGGTCCTGGGGGACAAGCAAAGCATCAGGGGTCCCAGGCCACCCCAGCCTCATTGCCTGCCCAGTACATTGAAGGGCTGGGTGTGAGAAATTACCCTGCTTCCAGATAATGAGGGACCACTGGGGAAGAAGCAAAGCAAAGGAGGGCTGGGGGGAAAGCAGAGAAAGAGGCCAGATGGAGACAAGGTCAGAGCTCAAAGACAGAGATGAGGGCCAGCAGTAGGACCAGAGACCAAGGGAAGTCAAAGGTTCAGGTGGAGACTAGAGGGGGTGGAGGGCCCAAGGGAACCCAGCTGGGAGCGGGTGGAGGAGCTAGGAATCAGTGTTCCCTAATAATGAGGACAGGAGGGGTGGAGCTGCAGGCCAGCTAACAGAGGCAGGACCTGGGCATCAGCACATGAGCAGGAACCTCCTGGGGCCAAGATGGTTTCTCTTACCATGGCTTGTTCGATCTTGTTGTCAATGCCAACCAGGCTTCCGGAGCCACTGGAGAGAGACACAGGGAGATGAGAGGTGAGGAAGAGGAGAAGATGCCAAGCCAGGTGTCTGGACACCACAGCCAGCTGCCTTCCAGGTGTTTCTCAGAGCAGGCTCTGGCCTCCAGAAGCCCCGTTGCTGCAGTCTCCCACCCACACCCTAGCCTGTACCTGTGACAGTAGAGAATCAGGGAGAGGAGGGTTTTGTCCATCCCCCGGCGGGGTGAGGGTCTCTGCCCAGGCCCCCCTAGGCCCCGGTGGGGTGGGGGTCCAGATGCCCCTCGGATGGGGGATGCTCCCCTAGGGGAGCAAGGAGAAGAGACACAGCCCCTTTTCCGGGGAGGCCCCGGAGCCATCCCTACCACTCGGGTCTCAAATGATGACACCAGAGACTTGACAGAGACTCCTGGCTGGGCCATCCCCAAGGGGCAAGGGTCCCCAGGCCTCCCTCAGAGGGAGAGGGCTGTATCAGTACTGCCTGGGGGGCTCAAAGCCCCCCGGGGCAGAGCGGGGTCTGGCTGGTGCCAGGCAGACAGAGAGAAGACAGTGCCCAGGGGGTGCTGGTCTGAAAGATATACACCCCCCCCCCCCCGGGGCAAAGCCTGGCTGCTATTGGCTCCTCAGGGACACGGGGAACCCCCTCCCACTGGCTTCATGGTGGGCGGGAATTCCCAGACTCAGTCAGTGCCAGTGTCCCCTTCTCACCCTGGCACCAATCCCAGAGCTGAGGGGAGGGAGCTTGGCTGAGGGAAGTCAGCTGGTGGGCCTGGTCTAGGGAGGGGCTGTGGGTGCCGGAGGGGTGTAAAGGTTGGGGGAGATCCTGGCCCTGGGGGGCCTCTCCCCATCTCTGACTCCATTCTGCCCCCTCTGGTCCACTACTGGCCACCCTCAAGGCCTCAGCTCCTCTCAGCTGGGATGGGGGTGGAAGGTGAGAAATGTTTGATATGCTTGTGGTCTTCCTAGGAGTAAACAACTCTCTCTCCAACATAAAGCTTACATCATTGGTAACCCCTGGTGCCTGGCTAGAGGGTCCCTCACCTCCCATGGTGAGGGCCAGGAGGAATGGGAAAGGTTACCATGGCAACGGAACAGACCCCAGGGCCCTAAAAAACAAGTAGAGCCTCTGGTCCTGGGTCTGGGGTCTGCAGTCTTGAAGGAGCAAGGGCTTGAGGAGAGATGGGAAGGTGAAACTGAAGGTGGGACACTGGAAATAGGAACAGAGGCTTTTTAAAGACCCCTGGGAGAAGAGAACAGGGAGGGGAGAGCAGGTCTGACTGCAGTTTGTTAAGTGACCACCAGAGGTCGGCACAGGCCTGGCACAACGGTCCCCGGGGCCAGGCTCTGGGTCCCAGAACCAAACTCCCTCAAGTCAGTCTCTTGGAGGCCCAGAGCCTGAACCATCCTTTGCACCCTCGCCAGTATTCTCTAAGGCTCATTCTCCCCACCACTCAGGCCCTAGGTTTCTGTGTCATCCCATGGCTCATGACCCACCCCTGTCCAGTTTCTGCTTCAGCTGCCTTAGCCCCAAGGCCAGCCCTCCAGCTGTGCCCCTGTGCTGCATGATCACCAGTCTTGTCCTCCTGCCCCTAGCTTCCCCTCTCAGAGTAGGTGGCCTCAACATGCTGCATCCTGTGCCCCTGTGCTCAATTGTCAAACCCTCTCTCCTGGTTGTCAGTTCCAACTTGCTTTCCTAGAGCGGGGGAGATCAGCACTCATTTCAAGGTGACCCTTGAATGAGGCCCTGCAGCCAGGAAGGGAGCACGAGGGAGCTGGGAATTTTCCATTTCCTATCCTAGCTCTGGGTGCGGAAGGCACTGACAGGTAGGTAACCAAGGAGGTGGCCAGGCCTGAGAGAGCAGCACAGGGTGGGCTGGGGGAAGGACACCTGGAACTCCTGGAACTGGAGGAGAGAGGACAAGTTTAAGAGTACAGGGCAGGCAGGCTGGTCAGCTGGAGAGTCAAAGCAGCTTTCAAGCTATTTCAATCTGAGATACCTGGGTGGAGACTGGGTCACCACAGAACCTTCCTTGTAAACAGACACACAGAGACCAAAGAGGGGCAGATTCATAGGACTAGGAACCCTGACCTTCCTTGGCGGACGCTTGGGTAAAGATGCCAAGTAAGTTTTTCGTTCTTGCCAGAAATAAAGGAATACTACAATAATAAACATTTGTTGGCTGATAGATGACTATCTCGGGTTTGTCTAGTGCTGGAAGGTTTTCGACAGCACTTTCCACAGTCACATCCTAACATTAACACTTCAAGGGACCAAGACTCTGGCTGGCAACCCAAGCCCTCACTTTGAGAACCCCAAGTGAGGGGCAGCAGGCACTGTGCTGGAATTCCTGGGCAGAGTCAGAAGCCAGAAGCTTGGGGTTGGCTGGGTGAGATCAGGTTTCACCACAAGCCCAAAAGGCAACTTTGTGTGAATTAGAACAAAATATCCTCTTCTTCAAGACACTTATTGCCATCTTCCAGAAAGCTGTCATGATTTCAAGTGTCAACAGTGACTTCAAATGTGTGTGGCGCCACCTGGAGTTGTGCAGGACACAATGTGCTCAATAGGGGACTCTGGGTCTGCAGGACTCTTGAGTCCTGGGGCAAGGACAGCCTTAGAGTTGGTCTTCCTTTTTGAAGCTCAAATGAAACAGCCTCGAAATGAGGATCAGATGAAGCAGGACATCTGGGAGAGGAGAAGGTTCTGATCCTGGGGACAAGGGCCAGCCCTGCTCCCTCACTGTGTTCTGAGGAGCCCCCAGGGGCTGGGCCTGGGGCCAATAAAATGGCATCCGGCTGCCCTGTCTACACTCCCTCCCGGATCTATGGTGTCTTTGGGGTGGGGCCAGGCCAGGAGGGGGGAGGATGGCTCCTTGCCCAGCTTGGGAGAACTGTCCCTGCCTCTGTCCTGGAGAGAAAGGGCATCCTAGTGATGGCTGCCTCCTCTTCTCTTCTCTGGGGAACACAGGCATCCAGTTGGAAAGTGGAGAGAATGTGGTTTTGGTGTCAGACCCAGGCTCTGATTGCAGTCCTGCCACTTACTAGCTGGGTGACCTTGGGCAAGTTGCTAAAACCTTCCTCCTCTGAGTCTCATTTCTTTAAGTGGGTATCATGGAGTTGCTTTTAGCATTATGTGACATAAAATGTAGCACCCGACCCAAAGGAGACACTGGATATAAATGTACCGTTTCTTTCCTGAGTTCCTGGAATTCAGTCCTTATAATGCTTGGATCCCCAATGCTGGCCATTCATCCATCCATCCACCCACTCAACTCATCCACCCATCCATCTATCCAATTACACAAGTACTAACTTCAAGGCCCTGTTGAGGGCTTGAAGGTTCTTGCAACTCAGGGGCACTTGAGCAGTCTGAATTCACCAGGGACCCTCTGTTCTCCCACCCTCAGACTCTGGAATTGGTCAGGCATTCTCAACTCCCCATCTGGGATCCAGGCACTTAACACCCCAATCCATTTTCCCTCTCAAAAGGAAGGTTTCATGCTACTCGGACTCTGTTCTCCTGCCAGCTTCCGGCACACCAAAGAGGTGAGGTGGGGGCTGTACACCTCATTCCAGGGGGCCAAAGTGGTGGCCCAACCCAAACTCGCTGGCCCAGCAGGGTGGGGCACAAGGGGCTGGGCTGGGCCAGAGCCCCAGAGGCTTGCAGTGGAGCAGGGTAAAGTGGAAACTAGGAGCTGGACCAGTCAGACTGGGGTGTGTGGAGGGGATGGGACATTGGGAGGAGGGAAGCTGGGAGGGGACAAGCCAAAAGAATACAACTGAAGAGGCTTCTGGAGGCAGAATTCTCTAAGGGAAAGCTGGAGGCTGGGCTCTGAAATCAACAAGGGTGGAGGAGGGAAAGGGAGCCCTAATGCCAGGTTACTTTCCAAAGGGGAGGAGGAGAGGGTGGGAAGAGCTGAGAATAGCAGCAATGGGGGCAGGTGACTCTCCAGGCCCTGGCTGACCTCACACCTCACACATTCCTGAGAGCCAGAGCTCAGATGGGAGCCCAGACAGGGCCCTGCCCACACGGGCTCTGTCCCTCATGTTCCCCCCATGGCCTCCATTCCATCTACCAGCTCCCGGCCACCCCTTCTTTCTTCTTTGGCCCCCAGCTCTCCCAAGGCCTCAGGCCTTTTTGTTTGGTTAGACTCAGTCCCTGATTCTGGGTGTTGGTCTCACACAAGGGAAGAGGAAGAATGATCCCCCAGCACCCACTCACTCATTGATAAGCTCCGCCCTTAGTTTTTTCCCCTCCCAAACCGGAAGTCCCTCCCCAAAAAGCCTCAAACAGGAAGTCCCACTCCTCCCTCCAAAATAAAAGTTACTACTCCCTAGCCCTTCTCCTGGGTTCCTATCAGTCTTCGGCCAGAAGGGAGCAGCCTGGCTATCTGACTCGAAATTTTGTTCCTCCCTTTTCAGCTTGCTGACATTCCGATGTTGAAACCTGGCCCTCAAAACAGGAAATTCTGCCCACCGTGCCACTGAACTGAACCAGACATTCTCCCCCAAAGGGCAAACCCCAGCAGATTTGCTCTCCTGTGCTTTCCCTGAGCACCACAGCCATCCTCTCCGTGGCTTTGGCTTGGCCAAGGGGAGGACTCAACCACAGGGTGTTCCTAGCACAGAGAACAGAACCTTAGGAGCATGCTTTCTTGGTACTAGAGGTCCTAGGACCCTAAAGTAGTCTTTACCACTAAAGACAGGAATTCCGTTCCCCTCTGTGGGGAGAGAGAAAGATGGAAACTGGGAGGAGACTGCCTCCCTATTCTCATCTCCAGTACATTTGCCAGTGAAATTCTTAGGGGTGGCCAGATGATCACTAAATATGCAAGAGCTCTGGAACTTGACAATGACGCCCCTCAAACTCTAAAAAGTACTATGATGGACAATCTTAAGCCAGGGAGTCCCACCCAGATCTCTCCAGTGAGGGAGTGGTCCCAAATCAACTTTGCCCAGTGTGTTATGCCCAGGCATGGTTTCTCTGTTTAAAATGTCCCCTTCAAATTTAACTTAGGTGAAGGACACCTATCAGACAATTTCATATGGATATTCCAGTGCTGGGTTTGGAGGCGGAGTCCACCTACCTATCATCATCGCTGTCCAGCTGACCACTGATGGCCAGCATGGATCGGGCCAGGCTTAGGCTCTGGGCTGCTGCTGCTCCAAAGGGGTCTGGAGACTTGTGAACCAGACTGGCATCAGGGAAGAAGTAGAGGGCCGGGGAGCTGGGGCGAGAGTCGAATGGGGGCACCTGAAGGCAGAGAAGTAGGAACTATTACATAAAGCGAGAGAAAGAAACCAACCACTTTACAACTTGCCTCCCTCTCCACCCACTCCCCCTTTCTTCCAGACCCAGGAGTCCTGCTCTTGCAGCCCCTTTCTTCCCCCATCCTAGGAAAAGCAATGGGTAGGCAGGTACTAGAGGCAAGGAATCAGTGTCCATCCTGAGGACAGTGAGTAGTTTATAAAAGGTGGCTCACAAGGGATCAGAGAGGGGCTCTGATCTGCACACCAGCACCCTGCCGCCAGCTGAACCTGGATCGCTAATCAGAGGCTAATCAGAGAGTGTCTACCTTCTGTCACATAGCTTCTTAGAGCAACTTAAATTCACTTCCTCAGAGAGGAATTTCCCCATCATTGGACTAGTAAATTCCACTTAACTTTTTTTTTGGTTTCTTTTATAACACCTAACATTACCTGAAATTAAAGTATTTTTGCCTCTCCACTGCTAAAAGGTAAGCTCCAGAGGGCAGAGCTTAGTTTGTTCAATAGCTATTTGTAGAATGAATGAATCCTCAGAAACTGGTCCTCACCCTCCCACCCTGCTCTCCCCCCACTGTACCCATTCAAGCCTCTCCTCTCAAACTTTTCAGGACTCAGGTAAAGTTCTGCTCCTGCTTTCTGGCCCTGGGGTAGGGGGTAAGGGAGCGAGATGCAGACATGGGGGAGGGGGCGGAGCCTGGGCGTAGACAGCCCAACAGTCACTGGGGGAGGCTGCAAAAGGGCGGGGGCCACAGGAACAAGCCGCCTCTGTGAGGCCCCAGGAGGCCCCAGCTTCTCGGAAAAGCCAAGAACAGAGAGTCCAGGGTGGTTAGGCAGAACGGAGGAAGGGGGCCCAGGTGATGTCCTGGCCCCTGTTAAAGGCAACTGAGAGAGAAGAGGCATGGGGGAGTGCAGAAGGAAGACTAACTTTGGGGCAGGGAAGCAGCAACACAGATGCCCACACACAGGAAGGGATCAAGACCTGAGAAAAGAAAAGGGGGCTGGGGGCACTGAGAAGAGAGGGGCAGGGTCTGCAGGCTCAAGGAAAGCTCTGGCATGGCTTAAGGATAGAGAAAGCAGAGGCTGGGGGCAGAGGGGCTGGCTTTGGAAGAGTGTGTGGGGAATGAGGAAGGGGTAAGTAAAGCATCTTCTCCCCTGGGGTAGGAACTGAATGAAAGAGCTCAAGAAAAGTAGGGGGTGGTGGTGGCATGAGAGATGTGAGCTTGAGGCCAAGAGGGAGTGGGGGGAGCCGGTCCTGACTGGTCCTGACAGGGCCCAGACATCCAGTCTCAGGTTATTTTTATACTGTGGTTTGTGCCCAAGGCCAGGAAGGGGAAAAGTTCCCATCCCCACACTCCCTGCCTTTCCTCCTGCAGCCCAAGGTGTTATTTTCTCCTCCAGGACAGATACATCCAACCCCCAATCCCTGGCTGCCTACCCTCCACCCCAGAGACCCAGGCATCCTGCCCCCCAGCCCAGACTTGTTCCTCTTTTGGAGACAGGAAGCAGAAAGAGCAAAGGATTTAACTCTTTCTCTGCTGCTTCCTGCCTCTCTCCCACTCCATAGTGGCCAGCCCCAGTTACTGATCCTGGAGAGGCCCAGGCAGAGGGAACTGAGACAGACCACAAACCAGCAAGCCCCCCATCCTTGTAATCGGTCTCCACCATCACCCAATTCCTCAATTTCTCTGACTAATCTGGCTTGGGACAAAGCTAGAAAGGGGCTGGGATGGTAGCTAGCTAGTAAGAAGAAGGAAGACCCCCACCTTGGGAATGAGGCTGCAAAGGAGAGACAGCAAAATGCCTACTTTTTGCCCCTCCCCCCCCAACCCTGGCAGCTCCTTTCCCAGAGGCCCAAACACCCAGCCCTGCCTGGGGCCTCCACCCTCAATACCTGAACGGTGAGACCAAGACAGAAGGCGAAGGGCGCATCTCTGTGATGTGATGGAGAGATGGGACTGGCTATATGGAGATGAAATTTGGGCCAAAGACAACAAATGAAAGGCCAAAGAGAAAGAAAGGTACAGGATGAGGGAAAGAGGGAGTCTGAGAGAGAAAACAAAGGTTGTGTGAGGAGTAGAAAAGGAACTCCAAATGAGATGGCAGGAAGAAAAAAGAGGGGCTATCTGATCTGACAGATACATGATGATGGAGTGGGGAGAGGTCAGTATGGAGGTGGAGTCCAAGGCCAAGCACCACCCCTCAGGTGTCTCCCCCGACCCTGGAACCCAGCTCTTACCTGCCCCATCTCCTCTGGAGCAACCAACTCCATCCTCAGCCGCAGGGCTCCATCCTTAGTTCGGGACAGTGGAGGAGTCCCAGCTGCTGAGACCCCTGCCTCCACTTCCATCCTCAGTGAGGACAGGGGCGTGGCGGCCCGGGATGTGCCCACGCTGCTATCCCCAGCCCCAGGCTCTGGGGGGCGCTGCTGGGGTGGGGAAGCTGACAGAGGGGGTGTTTCCACCTTGGCCTTGCCAGGCACTGCCAGATGGCCCAGCCCTCCAGTGAAGGAGCGGGCCTGAGGTCCAGGGGAGGTGGGAGGTGGGAGAAGCCAGGAGGTTGGACCCTGAGACAGGCCTGGCTGTGGGATAGGAGCGCCCAGGCCCAAGCTGGCCAGCTCCAACCTGGAATCCAAAGATCTGCCCCCAGTGCCCCCTGAGGCCCCTCGAATCCCCTCCAGGAGCCGACCAAAGCTAGGGGGCTCCAGGTCTCTCTCGTAAACATCCACACACGTCCAACGGCCACGGCGATAAGGCTCTCCCAGGCCCTGTGGCAGCTTCACCACCCGGAAACGGGAGGCAGGGGCTCCAGGTGGCGGGGAGCCATTGCGGGGGGTGCCCTTGCCCCCTGGCTCGGGGTTGGGCTCCCCGTTGGGCAGGCGGGGTGGGGGTCCAGTGGGGACCGGCAAGGCAGGGGAATCTGGACCTCCAGGGCTCCCGGGGCCCTCATAGTCCGTGGTGACGCTGGTGATTTGGAAACTACTCTTCTTCTTGCCCCCACTCATGGTCCCTGGGGCTCAGGATAGGGCCAAAGTGGGCGGGGGACAGGGCAGTAGTGGCTCTTCGAAGGGGCTCAGGCACCCCTGGAACAGGGGAGCCACATGGTGGGGACATCAGGGCCCCTGGGGACGTCTGGGTCCGACATGGCGAGAGGGCCTTGCAGGAACTGGGGGTGCCTGGGTGGTAAAGGGAGAACAGGGTAGGGGAGGCGGTGAAAAGGGGGAGCAGGGGCAGGTTTTTCCTGCTGCTGTCGCTGTCGAACTCCAGAGCTGAGTTTGCAAACTGGAAAAAGAGAGAGAGAGTGTGTGTGTGTGTGAGAAAGCAGTGGGCAGGCCACCTCCGGGTCTTCCTCTCAGGGGAGCAGAATGGGGGAGGAAGGGGAAACCACTAGAGACAAAGAGACAGACAGAGGTGACAGAGACCAGAGAATTGAGTACAGTGAGAGAGGGCACACGGAGCAGGAAGAGGCAGCCCAGACCCAAAGTTGGGCATTTCTCGCCTGGTATTCAAACTCAGGGAACTCCAAGTCGTCCCAAGAGCAAAGGGCTCCAGGGCCTTGGTGAACAGGGGTGAAGCAGCTCCTCGGCCTGGCCCGGCTGCCCGGGAGGCCTCTGCTGGTCCTCAAGGCCCCGCGCACCCCAGCTCCCCCATCCGTGGGGCAGGCCCTGCCCGCCGCCCCAGCGCCCCGCCCAACCCAGCGCCTTACCTCTCGGCCTCCGCCAACAAGCTGGGCCGGGGGTCCCGGCCGCCTAAGATGTCGGGCTGCCCTTTCCCTGGGGCCTCTTGGCCCCAGCAGCGCGGGGAGTCCAGGCGGCGATCAGAGGCTGTCCACTCCTCTTCGGGGGCTGCACCTCACCCCGCAAGGCATCTCCGTGGAAAGTTTGCGCTCCGGAAAAGAAGGAACCCCCGCCTCCTTGGTGGAGCCCAAGCGCGGCCTCTGAAGCCCCAAGTGTCTCTGGGCTGATGCGGGAGGGGGCGGCTCAGCCCCCTGATCCTCCAGGTGGAGCCACTTCGGTGGTCGGAGCGAGTGGGTCTCCCAAGTCTTCTTCCGCGCGGCACCAATGAGCCTTTCGGGTGCTCAGCTCCTTTTGGTTGTGTCTCACTGTCTCCCTCTTTCTGGGCTGTTGACAACCCCCACACCAGGAAGTCCTGCCTCCTCGGGCCTGCTGACTGCTCCTCTCCTCCTCCTTCTTCCCCTCTTCCTCCGCCCTCTCTCCCTCCTGGGGCGCCCGGCCAGCAGGCGCGGGGCCAGGCCTGCCACCGCCGCTGCTGGTGTGCAGCAGCAGTTGCCGCTGCCGCTGCTGCTCCTGGGGCCCCACCAAGCTCCCTTAACCCCACACCTGCTGGGCCCAAACCCAGCTTTTCCTCGTAGGGAGAGGCTGTGGAGGGCGGAGAGAAAGGGGAGGAGCCTGCAGGAAGGCCAGGGATTCCCTTACTTGTAGGCACTTGCTGCCATTGGCCTGCAGACACACTGGAGTGGGAAGAAACTGATCAGGAGCTCTGCTGGTACCTGCCACCCCCTAAACACCCGGGTAAATGTTATGATGCTGCTGGTGCTGTTATTGTTATATCTTCACTGGTTTTCACAGTCACTGTATGAGGAAGGTATTGTTATTCTCTCCTGTCCCATCCTATTTTAAAAAATGGATTATTATGACAATTTTTTTTTTCTATCCTCACCCGAGGATATTTTTCCATTTTTTTTTTTTTTGTACAGATAGAGTGGGAGGGAGAGAGAGGAAGGGAGAGAGAGAGAGAAACATCGAAGTGAAGGGACACATCGAGTGGCTGCCACCCGCACTACCAACCAGGGCCGGGGACAAACTGCAACCGAAGTACGTGCCCTTAGCGGGAACCGAACCCGGGTCTCTCCGGACCGCAGGCCGACGCTGTAACCGCTGAGCCAAACTGGCCAGGGCTATTATGACAATTTTTTTTTTTAATTTTTATTTTTTTATCCTCACCGGAGGACATTTTTCCATTTTTTGTTCAGGTAGAGTGGAAGGGAGAGAGAGGAACAGAGAGAGAGAGAGACATCGATGTGAAAGGAACACATCGAGTGGCTGCCACCCGCACAACCGACCAGGGCCGGGGACAAACCGCAACCGAGGTACATGCCCTTAGCGGGAACCGAACCCAGGTCTCTCAGGACCGCAGGCCGACTCTCTAACTGCTGAGCCAAACCGGCCAGGGCTATTATGACAATTTTTTTAAACGTCCCAAAGTAGCCCTGGCTGGTATGGCTCACTGAGTGTGGCTTCAGCCCCTGCATCAAAGGGTTCCGGGTTCGATTCCCCATCAAGGAAACTACCTGGGTTGCAGGTTCTATCTCCCGCCCCAGGCCCCAGTGGAGGGGCGCATGGGGGAGGCAACTAATTGATGTGTTTCTCACACAACAATGTTTCTCTCTCTCTTAAAAAAAAAAAAGCCCCAAAGTAGAGAGAATGGTATAAAGGACTCCCAGGTACCCAGCATGCAGTTTCACCAATTATTAATTCATAGCCAGTCTTGTTTCATCCATACCCTCGAGTTGTACTGTGCTGGATTATTTGAACCAAATCCCAGACATCATATTATTCCCCTTCTTAGATGTGGAAATGGAGACTCAGGAGGTTCAGAAAGGGTATCAGTAGTAGAGCTGAGACATTCCACACACTCAGATGTGTCCTTGCCTGGCCCCCATATAGAAAAATGACATCATATATGTACACACAATCACGCACACAAATGCACCTGAGGATGAAGTGCTAGCATGGACCCCTGTCCCACCTCACACATGTCCCACTTCTCCCATCCCATCCCTTGCTCCCTATAGAGAATCCACACACACTTTTTTTTTATCCTCACCTGAGGACATTTTTCCATTTTTTGTTCAGGTTTAGTGGGAGGGAGAGAGGACAAGAGAGAAACATCGACGTGAAAGGGACACATCGAGTGGTTGCCACCCGCACGACCCAACCAGGACCAGGGACTAACTGCAACCGAGGTACGCGCCCTTAGCCGGAACCAAACCCCGGTTTCTCTGGACCACAGGCCGTCGCTCCAAACACTGAGCCAAATCAGCCAGGGCACACACACACTTTTTAAGGGCCAACCATGTGCTTGGTATGAAAGAATAAACCTCCAACTGCCATTGTCTCTTTTTTTGGCACCCCAATCAACATTCTAAGAGGAATTATTTTAGCAAAAGCCACCTCTGCCTTCACTCCTAGGTTCAAAAAGAAACTAATTCTAATTAATTTTGATCAAATGGAACTATTCTCGAGTATATTAAAAATTCCTCATATTTGTTCTCTTCACATAATTATCTGGTAGATTCCCAAACAGCCTTGGGCAGAGATGGGGTGGATTTTGAGTTCCAATTTTTCTGCTAAGGAAACTGAGGTTCAGGGGCATTCAGTTATTTGCCCAAGGCCTCAGAGCTAGGTAGGTGGCAATGGGACTAGCACTGGGCTGTCTGACATCCCTCCTTCCTCAGCTTTAGCTCATGTAAATTTTTAACCAATATTTAGGATTAGGCAAAAATGAAATGATGCAAAGCCCCTTGTATCCCCATGTTTACACATGTATCATTTATCTCTTTGTTAAAATGCATCTGCAGTCCTGCCTCTCTCCCTTCATAGCCAGGTTCTGAGACCTCCCAACTCTTTAAGTCCAACAGCCAACCCCTCCCCCCTAATTCTCTCCTTCTGGCAATATTCAAAACACATTCCTGCTGCTACACCCCCAGATTCTTTCTACAAATCTGACTAGTTACAGACTACTCAAAACCCATCTTTAGACTCACCCGTCCCACCACCTCAGACCCTCAGTATCATCTTGGACTCCTCTGAGTCTACAGTCCCTGAGAGGGTATTGGTCTCTGCAGAAATGTTTGTTGAATCAGCCAATAAAAACTCATTTACACTAAGGTGTAAAAGTGAAAAAATTGTTGTGTTGTAATGTGTTACCTCTCTTGGGGGCATTTATAATAGCCCTTTAATGTATAGGCCCCTTTACATTTGTATTCATTGCTTTACTGCCCCAACATTATTGAGGTAGGTGTGAGATGAGACATCTCTCAGAAAGGTTGTGCCATTTGCTCAAAGCCACACAGCACTTCTACAAAGACTGCCATATAAAGTAACATTCACATGTTCCAGGGATTAGGGTGTGTATATCTTTTGGGGGTCCATTTTTCAGCCAGTTAAGGGTAGAACTGAGGTAGAACTGAGCTAACCTGAGCCAAAGGGAATTCCAAGGGAGGAATTTCTCATGGAGCTGATGAGAAAGGTGATGGCGGAAGGAGGCGAGGTCGCATTCCTGAGCGGCCATGGAGACGGAACCGGGCCTTGACCAAGGTGGCCATAGTCAGAGACCTATCCCGAGCGCTCAGGTCCTAGCGGGCTCCGCCCGCCGAGTCAAAGGTTACGAGGAAGATGGCTTAGGCCGCGGGAGCCGACAGGCGGAAGACTGAGCTCAGAAGGTGAAACAAGGTCCAGGCGCCTGGGAGGCTGGAGGGCTAGACGACCAGCACCAAGCGAGCCAGCACGAAGCCCTCCCGGCACCTGGGGGGCGGCGGGAAGATGGCGTGCAGCCAGTGGCGCACGCCCCCTGCTGGGCAGAGACGCCGAAGGTCCCGCTCCGGACTCAGAGCCCTTCGGCCCAGAAAGCGACCCCCCCTGCCGGCCTCGTCGCCTCACTGCACTCCGGGCTCCGCAGCCGCAGACTCACCCCGGCCCGAAGCGGGGTGCGCAGCTGGGAAGCGCCTGGCGCACATGGGACGCGCGCGGTTGCAAGCCCCCGGCTGCCGCTGGGGGGCATCACTGCACGCTGCGCCCTGTTTCACTCCGCGGGGACCTTGGTCACCGAAAGGAGCACGGCCCGGCCGGGCAACGGGCGAGAGACAGCGAGGAGCGGACGCCCCACAGCGGGGCCTGGCTGGCCCCACGACCCTTCTCCGAGTCCCCCCGCGGACTCCGTGGCCCCCCTACTTCCCACCCCAGCTAGGCGGCCGCTCCCCTCCATCCTTGGAGGGTGTGGAAGGGTGGGTTTGGGGCCGGGGGCGGGTCTGGGGGCGGACCCGGAGGCGGGGTTGTCTCTGCGGCAGGACCCAGCTCAGCTTCCCCCCCGGTCTCTCTGTCTCTCCTCCTCCCTCCTCCGGCTCGGGCGGAGCCCGGCATGGGGGGGCCGGCGCCCGGCTGGCCAGGTACGGTGATGTAGGAATTGGGGAGGCTTGGTGCGGGGAGGTGGAATGGGGGAAATCAGGGGCAGGGAGGATTGGCGGGGCTAGAGACGGAGAAACCCAGGATAGCAGGACAAGGGGAAGGGGAGGGGTGCCCCTGAACCTGGGGCCCTTGGATGGAGACGAGGATGAAGCCGGCCAGGTTTGGAACCGACAGGGAAGGGAGAGGACAGCAGTGAGGAGGGGCGCCTGGGAGGAGAGGTGAGGCTGAGGCGCAGGAGAGTGTGTTTGGGGGAAGGGAAACCAGGCAGGTATGGAGGCCGCAGCTTAAAAGGTAGCTACGGGGCCAGACTGAAGACGCTGGGGTGGGATTGAGGGGCGGGGACTGGAAGAAGGTAGCCGAGAGCCTCCTAGGTGCTAAAGGAAGAAAAAGGTTATTGGGCCATCAGTGAGGGAAGCGGAGACCATCGCTGAGGAGCTAGGGCGCAGTATGAGGGGTGGACCGAGGCCAGGGCCCAGGCGAAGAACTGGAAGGGAGAACGGCAGGGGATGGAGATATTTGGATGATAGTATTGTAGATGCCCAGCTCAGAGTGTCCCTACCCTTTCTCCAGCATCCCAGCTCTCATGAAACCTCCCAGCCTCAGGGCCAAAGATGGGGTGGGGAATCTGACTGTCTCCCCCTTCCCCTGTGGGGTGTAATGTACGCAAGTAGGCCCGGGCATAACTCCTTGTCTGTAGCAATGTCCAGTTCTGTGCAGCCTATTTGTGTGTGTGTTTGTCTGGAGGTCTGTGTGTGCTGTGGGTGTGTCGAATGTTTATGTCTGTGTGTGTCTGACTGTTTCTAGGTTGTGTTTACCTATGCTGATCTGTGTGTCTGGTCCTCTGTTAGTAGATATGGGTCTATGGCCCCATGGATTGTGTGTCTGAATGTGTGTTTGTGGGGCCTGTTTGGTGGATCAGGATGTATTTACAGGATGAGAATCTCTGTCGATCTGATCTCTCTAGAGTGTGTATTTGTGGCTCTGAACACCTTTGTCAGGATGTGTGACAAATGCCCATCTATGTCTATCTGTCTGTGGGTCCTTAGAGGTGGTGTTGGGTTTTTTGTGTTCCTCCATCTGTTTTCTCTCTCTGAGGACTGGAGTCATGTCTCTGTTTCTCTCTCTCTCTCTCTCTCTCTCTCTCTCTCTCATTCCTGGCCCGCACCCACCCCACATCTTTCTTTTTTCCTTCCCATCCCCCTACCAAGTGGATCCGGGACCCAGGGAGGGCCACCCTCCGGGCCTGGTGGCGCTAAGCAGGGCCCCCCAGCCCCCACCTCCTGTCTCACGACATGAACCTCCTCTACCGAAAAACCAAGCTGGAGTGGAGGCAGCACAAGGAGGAGGAGGCCAAGAGGAGGTAAGGCTGCGTCCTGGAATGCCCCCTCACCTGCCTACTTCTGCCTCTGCCTGTCTGAACCACATCCCTTCTGCCCTTCCTGGGTCCAACAGCCTGGTCATCAGTCTGATCTCAGAGTCTGTACAGAATTGCTGGAAAGGCACATACCTTGTCCCCACCCTGCTCCTGGCTCTAACCCCTGTCCTGCCCTTTTAGGGGATCCAGTTTAGGAGCACCCTGTTGGTTCTTCCCCATTCCCAGGAGCCAAGTCACTCCTTCCTAACTCACCTCTGACCTGTGGTCTTCTCTCAATTTGGAGCTGGCTCTTGACTCCCTGTCATCTGACCTTGGAAGGGGCAGGCCATGCTGCCCTCACAATCCAGGGATGGGGTCATTTGAGGGGCACCAGAGAAGATTTATTTGGTACCCTCTCAGCCTCTGCTGGGGGAGGTGAGTGACCAAGTAGTAGGGCTGTGTGTGTGTGTGTGAGATGAGGGACATGTAGGCCCTGCAGAAGAGCAAGGGCTTGCTCTTTCTCCTTGCCATCCCTGGGATCTGGGGCCTGGCCTCTCTCATCTGGCTGTCTTCTCTTCACTCCCATTGACGACACAGCCTCTTGGAGCCTGAGTCAGAGCCATCTCCCTGCTCCCTCCTTCCTCCTCACAACTGGAGTTTAATTCTTGTTGTTAATTAGATTAATAAGAGCTATCACCACAGCGATCTCTCCCTAATGAAGGGTTAGTAGACAGGGCCTTAATGAAAGCCCACCCCACAGTTCTCCCCTCTTTCCTACCCTCCGCTCCCCACCCTTTACTCACCCAGAAGATCAGGGGACAGTGAAAGGGAATGGGGGTGAGCCTGGGAGGGTGACAGAGAAAGGATAGCACTGAGGAGAGAGAAAGAAAGAAAAGGGGTAAGGGGGTGCTCCTGGGGAGGCTGCTCTGGTGATGTGATGGTACAGCCTGAGTACAGGAGAGGAGGTACGTTGTGGTGTGGCCACTGAGGCTGCACATGGGCAAGGCCAGAGGCTAGGTGTGGGCCAGTGTGAGTGAAAAGGAGCAGAGCTGTGGTGTGTGAGCCAGGCAGGGCTGTGCTGCCTGGGTTTGCATCTCTCTGCCAATGGTATGAAGCCGTCCACATGTGTGCTCTGTGCTGGATATGCCCAAGCTGGGATTGGCCAGCTCTAGAATGCTCCCCTGTGCACATACTCACCCCTTCTCTCATCCCATTTTTAAAGTCCAGAAATTCTGCCAGAAGCTTCTAGTTTAGTGCCCTGGACCTTCAGGCTTCCCCCATCCCCACCCCGTCCCCCTTTTTCCTCCCTGGGACACCACAGGTTGCAAACCCCAACATCTACTCCATTTTGACCTTCTCTCCCCAGCTCCAGTAAGGAGGTGGCTCCTACAGGCTCAGTAGGGCCCGGGGCTGGCCCAGGGCCTGGGGTCCGTGTGCGGGACATCACCTCTCTGCGCCGCTCCCTCAGGATGGGCTTCATGACAATGCCCGCCTCCCAGGAGCACACTCCCCACCCCTGCCGCAGCGCCATGGCCCCACGCTCCCTCTCCTGCCACTCGGTGGGCAGCATGGACAGTGTGGGTAGTGGGCCTGGGGGAGGCGGTGGGGGTCTCACTGAGGACAGCAGCACACGAAGACCCCCGGCCAAGCCTCGGAGACACCCCAGCACCAAACTCAGCATGGCAGGGTCTGGGGCAGAGACGCCTCCTAGCAAGAAGGCAGGTGAGATACCCCCAACCCTCCCAGAGGGAGCAGGAACTGAGAGGATCCATTCCAGGCCAGGGGAGGCCTGCTGGGAGGGTTCATTCAGGGAAGAACCGAGGAAGTGGAAGATTTCATTCTCAGAGAGATGGGGAGGGGCAGGTTCCTTTATGGAAGGGCTTGAGATGAATTATTTAAGGACAGGGGAAGCTTCCTGAAAAGTTTAATCTTGGGAAAGGGGTGCCATGTCCTTGGAAGTACACGAAGGTGGGAGAGAATTTAGGGTGGGAGCTTCAGATTCTGAAGAGTTCCCCTGTGGGGTGTAATGTAAAAAGACTGAGGGCTGACTTGTAGTAGGAACCCACTGGAGCTATAAATTGAGGGATGTAGGCAAAATGAAGAGGCAGCTGGGTCCTTGTAGATGGGTCAAGAGGTCAGAAAGGGTCTCCTCATTCCCTTCCCCAGTTTATTTGTTTCTTTCCCATTTTTCCCAGGCTCACAGAAGCCAGCCCCAGAGGGCCGGGAATCTAGCCGGAAGGTTCCTCCACAGAAGCCCAGGCGAAGTCCCAACACTCAGCTCTCTGTCTCCTTTGATGAGTCCTGTCCCCCAGCCCCCTCTACTCGAGGGGGGATCCTGCCCCTTCAGCGCCTCAATAGAGGGTCCTGCATCACTGGGGACCCTGAGGTGGGTTCCCAAGAAGAAGAGCCAGTGTATATTGAGATGGTGGGGGACGTCTTCAGGGGAGGAGGGAGAAGTGGAGGGGGCCTGACTGGGCCCCCTCATGGGAGTGGGGGCCCGACCCCTCCAGCTGGCACTGACTCAGACTCAGAAGAGAGTGAGGCCATATATGAGGAGATGAAATATCCGCTGCTCGAGGAGGCAGGGGAAGGCCGGGCCAATGGAGCCCCTCTGCTGACTGCTACCTCCTTGCCACACCAGCCTCATGCCCTCCAGCCCCACACCCACCATCGTCCAGCCTCAGCCCTTCCAAGCCGCAGGGATGGGACACCCACCAAGACCACTCCTTGTGAAATCCCCCCACCCTTCCCTAACCTCCTCCAACATCGTCCTCCACTTCTGGCCTTCCCCCAAGCCAAGTCTGCTTCCCGAACCCCTGGCGATGGGGTCTCGAGGCTACCAGTCCTCTGCCACTCCAAGGAGCCCGTGGGCTCCACCCCAGCTCCCCAAGTGCCTGCCCGAGAGCGAGAGCGGGAGACGCCTCCCCTACCACCTCCGCCTCCTGCTGCCAACTTGCTGCTGCTGGGACCCTCGGGCCGGGCCCGGAGCCACTCAACACCGCTGCCACCCCAGGGCTCTGGCCAGCCTCGGGGAGAGCGGGAGCTCCCCAATTCCCACAGCATGATCTGCCCCAAGGCGGCAGGGGCGCCGGCAGCCCCTCCTGCCCAGGCCACCTTGCTTCCCGGACCCCCCAAGGACAAGGCAGTGTCTTATACCATGGTGTACTCAGCAGTCAAGGTGACCACCCACTCCGTCCTGCCAGCTGGGCCTCCCTTGGGTGCTGGGGAGCCAAAGACAGAGAAGGAGATCTCAGTCCTCCATGGGATGCTGTGCACCAGCTCAAGGCCCCCTGTACCTGGGAAGTCCAGTCCCCACAGCGGAGCCATGGGCACAGCAGCTGGGGTTCTCCACCACCGGGGCTGCCTGGCCTCCCCACACAGCCTTCCGGACCCAACTGCAGGCCCCCTGACCCCTCTCTGGACTTACCCAGCCTCAACAGCTGGGCTTAAGAGACCCCCTGCCTATGAAAGCCTCAAGGCTGGGGGGGTGCTGAATAAGGGCTGTGGAATGGGAGGCCCATCCCCCATGGTCAAGATCCAGCTGCAAGAGCAAGGGACGGATGGGGGTGCCTTTGCCAGTATCTCCTGTGCCCACGTCATCGCCAGTGCAGGGACACCAGAAGAGGAAGAAGAGGAGATGGGTGCCGCAACATTTGGGGCAGGCTGGGCTCTGCAACGGAAGGTCCTGTATGGAGGGAGGAAGGCAAAAGAGCTGGACAGTGAGTGAAAGGAAGATCGGGAGGGGTGGGGATGTCCATGGTGATTTAGGGGAGGCCTTGGAAAAGTTATTTGGAAGCCATGGCCCATTGTCCTGAACTGGGAAGAGTTCTGGGAGACCAGAGGGATGGGGTATGCAGGACTAAAGGAGTGGGGTTCTTAAGTGTGTGCTGAAGGGCAGGAATATCTGGGCTAGGGAGGTGGAAGCTGGCCCCCAGAGCAGCCACCTCGTTCTGCCCCATTCCGCTGTACTCCCTGCCCCTCCCTTTGCTGGGCTGCAGGGGTGTGTGTGAGAGTGTGTGCATACTAGGAGCTAAACACAGCTGCCTCCCAGCTGTTACCATGGCAACTCATCCAGACCAGGGAGAGGAGAGGGAGGCCCCTGCTGTTGCCTGGCAACGCAATGCTCTGCCAGGCCCACTCAGAGATGAGCTTAGTTCACAGCCCTTCCTCCAACAATTCCTACCCCCACCCCCCACCCCCACACACTTTCTGGCTCAGGATTTAGGATTCCTCCCCCTCCTGGAGATAGGGCCCCTGGTCTGTTTCCAGGGGTGGCCATTCTACCCCTATCTGGGGCTGGAGGGGCTCAGAAGCTAAAGCTGGGATAGGGTAGACTCCTCTGCCAGAGAAAAGGGTTTGGAAGCAGTAAACATCTATGATCTCAGCCCAGGGATGGTACCAATGATTGCAATGGAAGGTAGCAGTGCTGGGGTCCCTCCTGTGTGAATGTGCTGGAGGAGTGTGAAGTAGGGCCCCTCCCTTCCCAGCTGTGACCTGCAAAGGGGCAGTTACTTCTGGTCCACCCATGCTGTGGTGTGTGGAGCTGGGGAAATAGCAAGACCCCTTCCACATACAGGCACTGAGTTCTTGTCATCCCAGCAGAGGTTGAGGACAATGCCCGGGCCTGGAATGGCAGTGCTGAGGGTCCAGTCAAGGTGGAGCGTGAGGACAGGGGTCCTGTGACATCAGGGATCCCAGTGAGGAGCCAGGGGGCAGAGGGCCTGCTGGCCAGGATCCACCATGGAGGGGACCGAGGAGGGAGTCGTTCGGCGCTGCCCACACCCTGCCAGACCTTTCCGGCCTGCCACCGAAATGGAGGTGACACCTGGCCCTGGCACACTGTACACTGATGGGGTGGGCTGGGGGGAATTGTCCAGGGGCTTACACCCTAATACCACATCTACATTCCCTTTATACCTCTGATGGGGCAGGGGGCAGCGGGGAAGGGGCTGTCCTCAGGAAACTTGGGGGTGGGAGACCTGAAGTCCCCTTCCCTCACTTTTTCCTCCTCAGACTTCACTGGAGGTTACCGCCTGGGGCGCTCTGCCTCCACCTCTGGAGTCCGGCAGGCCGCGCTCCACAACCCCCGGCCCTGCAGTCAGCCCCGGGATGTCCCAAGCCAGGTGAGGAGGAATATTAGTTTGGGTTTTATTTGTGAAGGAACACATAGAGAAGGCCAGAATGTGGAAAGAAAGGCATGAGGTCAGACTGGGGCCTGGCACAGACTTATAGGGTCCTGGTAGAGGCCTGGGTTGGGGGGAGTCTGGGAAGGGTCCTGGAAAGAGGCTACTTATGATGGGCAAGCCAGACAGGGCCACAACTGGCAGACAGTGCACCTTTGTGCATTATGAAAAGGCTCCCCTCTGGGGGGGCCACTGGGAAAATGCATCCTAGTAGGAAGACAAGTTTTTAAAAGGTGCCCCTTCCTCAGGGTGAGACAGGCCCAGCCTGGCACCAGGGCGCATAACTGGGTAAAGGGTGCAAGGGCTGTATTTCTGTTCCCATCGGTGCCCCCAGCCAAGGGGAGAGGACAGGGTCAAGAGAGCACTTGTTTCTGGGAGAAGACACTAGTCTCCATGATGGGGACAGGGCCCCGTCACTCGGGTCCTTGACCCTCATTCTTCCTTTCTCCCCCTGTCCCGCCGGCGGCGGGGAGGAAGGGCCACAGACCCACCCTTCACTGCCGCTGCCTCTGCCCTTGCCGCCCCAGCCTGCCCGAGAGCGGGATGGCAAGCTGCTGGAGGTGATCGAGCGCAAACGCTGCGTGTGCAAGGAGATCAAGGCGCGCCACCGCCCGGACCGGGGCCTCTGCAAGCAGGAGAGCATGCCCATCCTCCCCAGCTGGAGGCGGGGGCCGGAGCCCCGAAAGTCCGGCACCCCGCCTTGCCGCCGGCAGCATACTGTCCTCTGGGACACTGCCATTTGAGGAGGGCGGGAGGCCCGGGCACCAGGACTGGGGAGCAGAGCGGGGCTCTCCAAGAGACTTGCCTTGAAAGAGGGACACTTGAAGGATCAGGTGAGAGAGAGCCAGGAAGAACCCCTGCCCTCCATCCTAACCCCCGGAGACGGGGAGTCTGCAAGGCCCATTGGGGTTGGGGCACTAGCAGCACCCCAGAAATTTGGAGGAGGATTTGCTTGGAGCTGGGAGTGAGGTCCTCGCTGCTCTCCCCACTGAGCATGGTAGACCCCTCCTGAGAGGGCAGAGGCCAAGCCAGAGGTTAGCATGGGGGTGGAGGGAAGGGTTGGGGAGGAAGAGGGATGGGTCAATTGAAGAAGAGGACTAGAGAATGAGAGGTGAAGGAGCTCTTATAGAGTCGGGAATTGGGGAGGGCATATTTATTTTATTTATTTTAGTCTAGAGGGCAATTTTGGGCCCTCTGACCTACTCCTGAACAGGGAGTGGGGAGTCATGAGCAATGAAAAGGAACCAAGTTTGCACTCCCCACAAAGCCTAAAGGCACACTATCTACGCCTGCCCCAAAGCTAGGGATTGGTCTGGAGGGCAGCAGTCTCATTTACAGTATTTACAAGTTGCCAGAATTTGGTAGTGAATGTGGCCTGCTTTGAAACAGGCATCTTATTTAGCTCTGGAGTGAGGATCTGGCACCAGGGATGGGTGGGATGATGGGGAAGGAGGGACATTTGAGCGGGTGGGGGGAGGGCAGGGTATTTATTTAAATTTTAAAAAATCAGAAGAGATGTCAGGAATTTTTTTTTAATTCCTTTCTTTCAGAATAATATATTAAAAGACTAATGATCCTAGAACTGGCTTCTTAAATTTCAGTGTGCTCTGCCTTTCTTACATTTGTTTCCTTTTCCCTCTGACCCTTGGTTTATGGGAGTTGAAGGTTGTGCAGGGAGGGTTGAGAGTCTGTGGCAACTGAGACGAGTGGAGTTTGAGGTTAAGTGTTTAGGAATACCACCATGCAGTGACCCAACAAGTATTTATGGAGCATCTGACGTGTGCTTGACAATGTGCCAATGCAGAAGGAATATTCAAACTAAAGCTTGTCCTCAAGCAGCTATAATCTACCCAGGGAGATGAACTACCTGAGCTGACACTAGACATTGCTCCAGGAGTAAGAGAGGGAGAGGGTTGGAATCATCTGAGAAAGCTTCCTGAAAAGTGAGTAGATCAGGACAAATAATGTTTGGATGAGCATGGGAAGAAAGAAAAGTTCCAAAGTCATAGTGTGATTGTCTGCAGAACAGTAGAAGATGGGTGTTGGTGGCAGGAAGTGTGTTTAAATAACACAGAGGGCAACCCTGGTAGGGTGGCTCAGTTGGTTGGAGCATCACCCTGTACATCATCATGCTATACATTATATCCCCAGGACTTATTTATCTTATAACTGAAAGTATGTATGTTTTAAAGTTTTTTGTTGTTGTTGTTCTTTATTGATTTGAGAGAGAGAAGGGAGAGGGAGAGATAGAAACCAAAAGGTTGTAGGTTTGATTGCCAGTCAGGGCACATGTCTAGGTTTCAGGTTTCATCCCGAGTCAGGTGCATGTAGGAGGCAACTGATCCATGTTTCTCTCTCTCTTCCTTTCTCTCTCTTTAAAATCAATAGCTAAAAAAAACTTATCCTCAGGTGAGGATCAATAAATAAATAAATTAATTAATTAATTAATTAAACAGAAAGCAACAATGCACAGTCAACCATGATGAAGCTGGTTCAGAAAGATGGGCCTCAAAGCAACATGCTGGCCCTGGGGAAGGAATCCAGAGAAATCCTGGGAGGTGATGTATCACCAGGGAGGAGGATGAAGAGAATGTCTGGGAGAATGGAGGGCAAGAGACAATGAATGGGGGTGGGGGGAGAGAGCATCTTCCAAGCCCAAGTTTGGAGCTTATGTGATTGGGGAAATGATCACCTGACAGCAAGGAAAGTGGGGTTAAGAGGACTTTGAGGGAAGATCAATGAATTTGAAGCAATGGTGAAAATTCAAGTTGAAAGGTTTGTGACCAGCTAGAAAAGAGTTTCAAAAAATGTGGTGGATGATATAAGAGATGTTTATAAACAGTATGGAGAAGAACATTTAAAAAAAAAAATTTAATAGAATTGTGTTTATTTTCATTCATATTAGAGAAATAATAACCAGCACATTAGACTTCTTATTATTTCATGGATATAATTATATAAGGTAAGATAATTTTTAATGAGTTTAAAGAAAAATATTAAGCAAATAAATAATGATACAGGTGGTATATAGAACATGAAACATGGCAGTGGTATGAGAATTTTTGAAATTTAGGAAACACCAAGTTAAAATGATGATAGTTTGAGAGAGGTGACAAGATTGCACATTAGGAGTCATCAACATAGATACAGTACTCAAGGCCAAGACTGAGCACTGTAAGAAAGGATGTGGATAGAAATAAGAGTTAAGAACAAAATATAAGCAAAGAATAGCTTTAAAAAAAGTTTTGAGATGTAATTGACATATAACATTGTATTAGTTTTAGGTGGATGCATAATGATTGATAAATGTATATATTGTGAAATTATCACAAATTTAATTAACATCCATCACATACATAGTTACAAATAGTTTTTGTGTGTGATGAGAACTTTTAAGGTCTCCTCTCTAAGCAACTTTCAAACATGCAATATAGCAGTTTTAACTATAGCCATCATGCTGTACATTATATCCCCAGGACTTATTTATCTTATAACTGAAAGTATGTATGTTTTAAAGTTTTGTTGTTGTTGTTCTGTATTGATTTTAGAGAGAGAGAAGGGAGAGGGAGAGGGAGAGAGAAACATTGAAGAGAGAGAACATCGATTGGCCGCCTCCTGCATCCCCCTCACTGAAGATTGGGCCCACAACCTGGGCATGTGCCCTGACCAGTAATCGAACTGGTGACCTCTTGGTGGATGGGTCGATGCTCAACCACTGAGCCACACTGGCCAGGTGAAAGTATGTACCTTTTAACCACCTTTACTCATTTTTCCCCTTTCAACACCAATCTCCTCTCTCTCTCTCTCTGAGTTCAGTTTCCTGCTTTTATCTTAGATTCTACATATAAGTGAGTTTATATGGTATTTGTCTGACTTAGTTCACATAGCATCATGCCCTCAAGGTCCATCCATGTTGTGGAAAATTACAGGGTTTTCAGTAGCTTTTTTTTTTTATCCTCACCTGAGAACATTTTTTCGTTTTTTGTTCAGATAGAGTGGGAGGGAGAGAGAGAGAGAGAAAAAAAAAGAGAGAGAGAGACATCAACATGAAAGGGATACATCGAGTGGCTGCCACCCGCATGACCAACCAGGGCCAGGGACAGACTGCAACCAAGGTACAAGCCCTTAGCGGGAACCAAACCCTGGTCTCTCTGGACCTCAGGTCGGCACTCTAACCACTGAACAACTGGCCAGGGTTTCAATAGCTTTTTTATTTAATCCTCACCTGAGGATATGTTTATTGATTTGAGAGAGAGAGAGAGAGAGAAACATCGCTTAGAGAGAGAAACATCAACCAGCTGCCCCACCCCTCCACGCACCCTGACCACAGGGGATCGAACCTGCAGCCTTTTGGAGTACAGGACGATGCTCCAACCAACTGAGCAACCTGGCCAGGGCTCAACAGCTTTATAATAATTAGTTAGAAAATTAATGGAAGAAAATATCCCATTTATAAGAACAACATAAATAATAAAATAGGAGTAACTTTAACAAGGAATGTGTAGACTTCCGGTCAAGATGGCTGGTAGGTAAATGCGGTATCGCGTCCTCCCACAACCACATCAAAGTTACAACTAAACTACAGAACAACCATCATTCAAAACTGCCTGAAATCAAGCTGAATGAAAGTCCTACAACTACAAAATTAAAGCAGCAGCCACATCGAGACCGGTAGGAGTGGGGGAGGCGCGACGGGCTGGTCCCACACCCACGTGTGGCGGATAAAAGTCAGGAGGGCACCTCGTCTGGGAAGGTCCTCCCTGAGGACTGAGGGGTCCCCGTCCCACACCAGGTCCCCACTCAGGGTTCCAGTGCCAGGAAGAGAAGTCCCCATAACTTCTGGCTGGAAAAACCAGCGGGAACTGAGGCTCAGGGAGGCTGAGGCGGCTGAAGCCCCAGGCAGCTCCTCTTAAAGGGCCCTGCACACAGACTTATTGGACTGTCTCCCTCTAAGCTTGGAGGGGAGGCAGCTCGAGGGGCACCAGAGACACACAGGGAAGAACTGAGCTGTTTGGCACTGGAGTGAGGGCTGAAAGGGGGCTTTCTCCGGGACAAACATGCTGTCAGAGGCCTTTGTTCCTTTGGTGAGCCCTTCCCTGGGGCGGCAGATAGCAGTCATATCTGGGACTCCAGCAACCTGGCTCACACTGGTAGCCCTGCCCTGCTGATTCCCTGAGGCCCCGCCCCACCCCACCCAGCTCTCAGGCCCACCCAGCTTTCAGGCCCACCCAAGCTGTTGCCAGTTGCTTAACCATAGGATTGGCCGGTCTTGGATCCTGCTTCATGTTTTCCTAAATTCTTTCAAACAAGCAGCATCTGGTCTCAGCTAGCCCCATACCTCTTGTTAAGTAATACACAGAAACAAACACAGGGAGGCAGCCAAAATGAGGAGACAAAGAAACAAGTCCCAAATGAAAGAACAGAACAAAACCCCAAGAAAAGAACTAAGCGAAATGGAGATAAGCAACCTAACAGATGCTGAGTTCAAAATTCTGCTTATGAGGATGTTCAATGAACTTGGTGAGGGCCTCAAGAGCATAAAAAAGGACCAGTCAGAAATGATGATGCACAGTCAGAAATGAAGGAGGCATTAACTGAAATAAAGAATAATTTACACAGCTTCAATAATAGAGTATGTAAATCCAAGGAGCAAACCATTGATTTGGAATATAAGGAAGCAAAAAACGCCCAATCAGAACAGCAAAAAGAATCCAAAAAAATGAGGATAGTGTAAGGAGCCTCTGGGACAACTTCAAGTGTGCCAACATTCGCATCTTGGGGATGCCAGAAGGAGAAGAGAGAGAACAAGAAATTGAAAACCTGTTTGAAACAATAATGGCAGAAAACTTTCCTAACTTGGTGAAGGAAACAGACATACAAGGCCAGGAAATACACAGAGTCCCAAACAAGATGAACCCCAAGAGGTCCACACCAAGACACATCATCGTCAAAATGCAAAAGGTTCAAGACAAAGAGAGAATCTTAAAAGCAGCAAGAGAAAAGCAGTTAGTTACCTACAAGGGAGTTCCCATTAGGCTGT